AGCTAAACTTGTATTTTCTCATTTTTGCTTGGAAAGACTCTGCTTATACAGATTCCGCTAAAGGCATGGAAGTAACAGTTTCCTCACAGAAAGTAACTTCTCCATCCCAACTCAAGTACAGGATCATAACCTCATGCAGAGGAGGAGGTATTACTTAGTGAATTCATGTTACGCTACCTGCATGCCTGTGTGCAACATGCTTATGTATGTGTCCTTAAGTACTTGGTTTATCACTTTCCAACAGTACACGAGGACACAGTACACAGTATGTGCACAAATGTTTAGAGTAGTAAAAACACCATAACAACTATCTTTAGGCCTCTCAGGGTATAATGATATTGCTCTTATTCTTCTGCATATATCTACCATATAGCTCACTAATCGCCATGATAATTTTTTTAAATACAATACCACACCAGGATCAATACAAATTTAAAGGACTTATAAAAGACAAACAAGATTGATGAAAATCAGCTCCCAGGTACGTAGTACACATGTTTTTACTTCTGTATTAAAAAAAGTAAAAGATATCACTAATATCCAAAGTATTCACCAAACAGTGATCATCAGAAAACCCCTGTATACTAAGCACGGAATCATGAAGAAGTTTACCCAAAATCATGAAGGAAGCTTGTGGCACGGCTGCAGAACAGACTACTTCTCTAATGCCAAATTTTCCTTGTTGAATACTCCATTATTCTTTTGACTCTTTGTCATATTATCCAGCTTTAGCCAGTATGAAAACCAAGTTCCTTTTTCAAAAGTGGTTACAGATTGGGATATTCCTACCACATAGCTAAAATGTTCAGAACCATAATTTTGATAAATTTACCCATATACATCCAATAAATGGCATGAAAGGAATGAATATTCCTTGCTATCACTGTAGAGTGAGGGCTCTACCTTGCCTAAATCAGTCCTGTCTTACACTAAACTCATCACTGGCTCATTTAATATAGCTTTGGCAACAGAAGTCCTCTTTAATCTGACGCAGTGTCTGCTGTAAATCATTAGCTCAGTCTCACATTGGGCCATTTTGGTTTTGGAGGAGAAACATGTTGCAAAATCTCCCTAGAGAGATCACTCAGCTAATGAAAGTGCTTATTTAAGAGAGCTAATCGTAACAATAGAGAAGAGCGCAACATGGACATTTTGGGACCAGTCAATCCTTTAAAAGAAGACATTACTTAACTTGGATGTCTCACTTCTACTGCAGGTGTCTCAGTATTATTAGTGCTTATACAGACAAAGTTTCACAAAGTGAAACTCAAGACTGTCCTTGTGGCTCAGCGCGGTGTACTCATCACGATACTGCACTGCCTATCCATTAACAAATCTCCTCTAACTTGACTGTGTCAGTGCATCTGGTGTGTGGACTGCAAACAGTTCACACTGAAGGCTGAGCATAATGGACATTTTGTTCATTGATATTCATTTAAATTGCAAAGGAAAATATAATCTTTAGAATAAAGTTGGGTTTCTTTCAAGAGCATCTTTTCCCATGGCTGAAACTGCATTGAATCGTATACTATTCAAACTCTTTAAGTGTCAGAACCCCTTTTCAGTTCAGTTAAGCTTGCATTTGAAGTCTGAGTCTGACAGTGTGAACAGTTCAATTTAAGACTTTGGGAGCCAAATTCAAAGGAATGCAGGGTAGCTTTTTTCCCCTGAAAGTCATTATTAAAAATAATTTCTAAAAATCATACCCAGCTATAGTTACAGTCTAGGACTCAGGGTTTAAATCATAGCAGGATCATTTCTGATTTCAATCCCGGCAGATAAGCTCAGTCCTTTGTCCTCTGGTTGGAGGTAAGTCAATAACATTATTTTTTGTGAAGAAAGGTCTTTGATAACCAAAAGTATAAAGCTAAGATCCAGGATGGCCTTAAATATCCTCAGGAAGGTCTTTAGACCTTCTGCTCAAAGCAGGATCAGCTATAATGTCAGACCAGATTGTTCAGATGCTTATCCAGTCTGAACCTGAATACCTCCAAGGATGGAAGCTGCACAACTTTTTGGGGCAACCTGCTCCCTGGCATGTGTTACACTCCAAATTTAATTTGGGAAATGCTTATTGAAGTCTTTCACATGAGAAGCTTGCCCATCAGCACGAAGACTTTGCAATCCACATGGTTGTAAGAAGTAATAATAAAAGAAATACTTCTTTATTTCCAGATTTATTTCATTTTACATTTTAACAAATGTCTTTGATTTGCTAAAATTCAGAACAGACAAGCCTGTTAGCTAGCCCTTTGAGAAACATAGCTCGAGGTCGGCTCAGACACTCTCCTCCAGAAAGCAGATGTTCTGTATTTGTAGTTTCCCTCAATACATTCAAGACTTAGTTGTGAACTGTGGTCAGTCAGCAGTGTTTTCAGCACACAGCATACACATAGATGTGCCTTTTATCAGTAAACTTATAGGGAGGCAGCTCACACAGAGTTTAGAGCATTATCATAAATAGCTGAGGGAAACAGAGCTGATCTCTAGCACCAGGGCTTTCTCCACGAATGCCTGTTATGAATGTGGAATCAGGGCAGGGAGGGCAAGTTTCTTCCCAGTACTTTGGATGGAGCAAAGAGAATGAACAGGTGAGAATTTAGCACTAAGGATGAGCTTTGGTAGACTAAGAAGTCTCGCATTTTTTGTATTCACAGAAGCAGAACTTCCCTATTTTGACTAGAGTTGGCTTTGGAGAAAAGTACCTTCCAACTTTCATGAACTCTTAACACATTTAAAGGTGCAGACAGCATGAAAGAGTTTGTCTCAGTAGTGAGATTCTAACCCGCTCCTTAGAAGGAAGACATTTTTGCTCTCTTTTCTGCATTTTTGAGTACCCAGATGGAAGAATCTGGCCTTAAAATGCATGTGTAGCAAACTAGGAATCTTGAGGCTTTGTCATGCCTTTGGCAGTGCTGACATCAGCGAGATGTCTCACTAAAGAGCTTGGCAATTTTACAAGAGGGAATTTATTCTTTTCAGTTGGAAACAGATAGCTTGTCATCAGCCAAAACACATGGCAAACTCCAGCACATTGTAAGGATTCTTCACCCAACTCTCCCAAAAGCATCTCTGGGAATCCCACTGTTCTCTGGCACATTTCTTATGGAAGAGCAAAGCAGGACACTGAGATGTAGCTTTATAAGGTTATAGAATTCAAAGACTTTCAAACCAATTAACTCCAAAAGATATAAAATAGTGACTTATATAATCATGAGTCAAAACTCACACGATGACAAGATAATAGGAATTGTTGGCCTAGTTCAGCTAAAAAAAATCCATCTTGCCCAATAACCTGCTACAGTCAGCAACCTGCAGCAGTTGCCTAG